TAAATGTGACTTGAAGAAAACATGTCTTTGGGCAGCTTTCTGCAAAGCTGGTTGTTGTCAGATGATCTTGACAGGATCCAGTATAGCAGGATTTCACTGTCATTAGTATCTTCAGTAACGCCACTTCATGCATCTAAGTAAAATGTGACATATATTGGCTTTTGTGGTACAGACCTGAAGGCAACTGTTCTCTGCACAGCATAAAAATAGCTCTAAGGTAAAGCTTCTTTTTGTTGGCAACTGACAGGCTGTCTGTGCCAGTTAAAAAACCAAACAAACAAAAACACCCAAAAAAAACCCCACCACCAAAAAAAACCCCAAACCTCAAAGCTGCTTAAACAGAAAAAAAAACCCCAAACACGTATAAACAAGTATTTACAGGAAAATGCCTGCAACAGGTGTCTGAGGACTCGGATGTGAAGGATATAATTATCTGTATTAAGGTAGCAGTTGTGTGCTTAGATTTGTTTTCTCAGTTGAAATAAAACTAAATAAAAGAAGTTTCTAGAGTCAAAATAGAAAGCAACCCACCAAAATGCATAGTTGCAGCCTGTAGACATAACCTTTTCCCATTGTCTACTTCAGTGTGCTCTATCTTGGTTTATTAACATTATATGTCATTACACGTTGGTGGTATTGTTCATTCCTTCACAAACCGTAAGTTTAGAGTGGTAAGGTTTCTATTGTTTTTATACAGTCAGTGAATAGAGCTATAGATGCATGTGGCATGGGAAATCTAGCCTGCTTCTGCACTAGTGGAGGATAAGAAGGAGAAACTTCCATGCTATTAAGACCTTCATTATCTATTTATCTGCCTATTACATAAATCTGAAGGTTGTTTTTTAAAAAAAAAAGCAGCTTGGAGCTTTTTGGGGAAGGGCAATGAGTTAGGGATATCTTAGTTAAGCTTTACTGTATGCAGTGCTATTCTGGCTGAACTTGCCCATCACAAAGGAATACACGCTAATCTGACAGGCTAGTTATTCTGGGCCCAGAATGCAGAGGCTAAGGAACTTATTATAGCTTTTTAGGCGGCAGCAGCATCTAGCAAAGTTTTGCAACCCTGACTGAACTTTCTGGTGTTCAGGCTTGCCTGATCTAGTGGATACTCCTTTATCTCCTGATTTGGGATAGGGAGAGAATGTTCTGTGAAGAGTGTATGTTCATATGTAGCCATTTTTGTCAGGAAAAGAAGTGGTCTGCCTGATGAGCTGTAAGCTACTGTACTGTTCCATGTAGCTTCTACAAGCTTCTAAAAGTAGGTGTTGCAGTACTATAAGTAGTACTGCAACATAAGACCAAATCTATTTAGGGTACATTTTTTTTTCTCCTAAAACTGAAACTTGTGAGTACTTCCATTTTACAAACACTTTAAAGCTGCAATGATAATCTCATTTTATGTTTTTTTTTTTTCAAGGTTTTGGGATATACCTCTATCTTTTTAGAAAGACTTGCTGTTT